AGATTTTTTTACTAAATTCCTTTTACCGGTTTAGTTATAATTAGTTTTACTTCACATTATTTTTAAATTATATATCGTTTCATATTGAATGGGACAAATGACTACTATAGTATGAATTCTGTAACTGATATCTTAAGCGGAAAGAAATTAATTCTAATACTACAGTTATACAAATTTTATCTCGCAAAGGCGAAAAATCTTCTGGTTTACGAAATCGCGACAAATTGTTAATCAAAATGTGGCCGTCCGTGCATAAGAAAGCGTACTGTGTTTTGAATACGCCAAAATATTCTTTATCGTCGTTCAAAGACATTTTTGCACTAAACTTGGTAAACCCCATTGTCACAGCTCTGAACGATGGGTGAAGTAGTTTCACTACAATCGCTACTTCTATAAGAAAACCAACCCTGGGCAAACAGCAGCCAAAACCGAAAGTGTTGAAAAATTCGTGAAACGTTTTTACGAAGTCGCACAAAATCAACGCGTGGTGCGAGTTCTGAACTCAATGTGTTTCACAACTTAACGGTTTGATGCGTGTTACGAAAACGTCTACAATTCCGCCTAGAGACCTTTTAGATGGTGCAGGTGTTTTGCAAGATAAGCTTGCGGTAGGCAGTTTCGCGAACAGACTTATGTTTACGGATGAAGCCACTTTTCATGTTTCTGACAAAGTTAATCGCTATAATTTACTATTTGGGAACACGCAACATTCACAACATCAGTGTAATTCTCCAAAGGTGAATGCTTCTGCGCCATTTCCAACAGTTACGTTTTCAATCCTTTTTCTTCATCAAAAAATCGATTGATGGGTCCATTTACCAAAACATGCTAGCACAGCCGCTGTTTCCTTTGCTAGAGGAAGCAATTCCCAGCTTCATTTTGCAGTAAGACAGTGCTCCACAATACTGGCATAAAAACGTACACCAGTACCTGAACTATAGTCTACCCAATAGAACTATAGTCGACGAACTATAGTCTACCCAATAGCTGAATCGGCCGTGCTCGGTCAAACGATATGCCATCGCTTCTTTGACCACCAAGATCCCCAGATCTAACCCCTTGTACTTTTTTCCTATGGAGTTCTGTTAAAGACAAAGTGTTCGTGCATACATTTCCTAAGGACTTAACAACAACTGAAGCAGCTAACAAATGAAGTGCTCGAATCATTAATATAGGATATTATAATACGAGTATGGCAGGAAATCGAATACGCATAGATATTTGCCGTGTCACCATAGAGGCAAACAAAGAACATCTCTAGAAACTGGATAACTATAAGTTTTCCGTTAATTTTATTTATCAAAAAAGTAAAGTTCACGCAGGTATGCTTTCTTTTCGGCACATTCAGTATGAAACACACTGTGTTAAAGCAATAAAAAAGGGAGATGCACCACTAAATGTTACAGAAGTTCCATATTTAAACGTTCTGCAGAATTTTCACGTTGTGCTGCTAATCGTTTTCGTGTTATGCGAGATACATACATCCGTACATATGCTATGCTCACAGATCCCCCCCCCAAAAAAAAATAAATTTTGATTCCACTTTAAATCCATTTTACATTCAGTTTTGGAAAAAAGAGCCTTTGTTCGTATGTGCAGATATCGAGCAAAAAAAAAATGTCCCAAATATATTTGGGAATGTCAAAGTGGATACTTCCAATGAAATATCGAATCCGGAATTTTTTGAGGTTACAATAATTTCTATACTTCGGACAAGAAAGAAAAAAGTAGGTAATTAAGGCCTCTTAAACGACGTTGAGTCTACGGGGAAGCTTAATCGGTGTCTGTTCCATACTTATATTAGTTCTTTTATTTCCTGAAAAGAAAATTATCTTCGGAGAAAGAATATAATCATCAGTTTAAAAGATTATTTCTTTCAGAACAAAGTGCATGCAATGAAAACAAAACTCTCTGATCACTGAAAGCTTGTGATATTGTAAGAAATTTGCGATAAATCTCTCTTAGAGTATCACAAGTCGCGTTTTCTTGCGAATTCCCTCCCCTTTATTTTTATAGTATGATCGTCTGAAAATCGAGAGTGGCCCACCAGCGGCCGAGCGGTAAAGTCGCTGAACACTGGTAGTTCGGTCCGAGGTTCGAATCCCGCGAACGGGCTGGCTGCATGGGCGTTTTTCGTGGTTTTCCCCATGTGTAACGTGTATACGAGCCAGTTTCCCTTAGAAAGTCCTCCACGAAGGCATCCCTCCCTTTAGGCAGATAGCCCTCGAGGCTTTGCCATAATCACACACGCACGCACGCACGAAAATCGAGAGAGCCTACCAGTGGCTGAGCGGTAATGTAGCTGAACACTGGTAGTTCTGTATGGGTTTCGAATTCTAGTGAACAGGCTGACTGCATGGGCGGATGCATGGTTTTCCCCGTGTGTAACGCATATATGAGCCAGTTTCTTTTAGAAAGTCTTCCACAAATGCATCCCTTCCCTTCGAAGCATATACCATTTTGCCATAATCAAATAAAGCTAAACCAAGCCGAAAATTGAAAAGGAAACTTTATGCGAATAATTTAATTTCGCGAAGGATACAGTAATTGTAAAAAAGGTAACAAATGAAAAGTATCCATGTTTAAACTACAGGTAACTATAACAATATTATTTCCTTAAAAGAATTATAATTACCAATAACAACGCTTAGTAATATTAACATTAGAAAAGTTAGTATGATATCTTCATTTCTGCTTTCCGTAATTTGTATCTCTCAAGCTCTTATCCCTGTTTCTCTACTGCTTAACTCCTAATACTATATAAATAATTAGAGATAGTGAATGTGCAGTCGACTGGAGAAAATCGTAAACTGAATGGCAGTTCGTGTTTGCTTAGATGGGATGGGTTAGTTCTTGTGAAGTGCAACAGTTAGAAATGAAAGGCTCGGCGTGACTGTCGCATGTAGTTTGCGAGGATTTGTCTGTGTCAGTAAGACGAAAACTATCACTACTACGACTAATCCATTAAACCCCCCCCCCAAAAAAAAAATTGAGGGGAGATCTTTCTTTGATCGCACTGAGGAAGGAGAGATTTAAGCGACTGTTTTTTAAATTTTTAGGAAAAAAACTGGTGGGGGAGCAATACTAAAATGGGAGAATACGCGTAGAAATACTCTATTATGTGAGAGATAAATGTATATATTTTTATTACATATGCTTATCAATGGGAGATGAAATGATCGAAAACTTCTAAGATAGCTTATTCTTGCCGAGGACACTGACAATTTTAAAATCGATAATATGTCAACTAGACTATCTCCTTCTTTCTATTCCTCTATTAGACTCAGTGGTATTGGAAATCGACTCCATTAGCCTTAAAAGCAAAATGAGCAAAAACAAAGCGGATAACTCTTAAGAAGATGAAATTGCTCTCAATACTTCGAAAGATATTAAGAATTTTTCGTTATATTTCAAATTATTATGCATACAGTGTTTCCTCTCGTATAACTTCAGGCGGATTATGCTGAAGTAGAATATGTATTCCTAGAGACAGACTAAAATTTCTGCTTATTTTTCTAAAACATTTCTATAGCATAAATTCTCGCAGAACATTGTAATGGAAATCCCAAAAGAATTTTAAATTAAGTTCTGCAACCTCCGGATAAGCCGTATTGATCCCAGGATGGTATTTTCTAAAAAAAGGTCAATCGTATGTGTAAAATCTTTAATCAAATGTATTTGAAACGCTGTTTTATATTTTGCTCATGCTTCAATAATGGAACGACTGATTTCTTGTGCCATTTTTTGTTAAACTGAAAACATGCTGAATATATTTACAGAAGTTTAAAATTATTTTTAAGCCGAAGATATACGAGCCAAAATATAATAGTTCAATTACAATATGAACATTTTTTATCTAATTTAATATCTTGCATGCTAAAGTGAGTATAAGAAAAATTAAGCTTGTTAATTTTATTTTATCGAAAGTACCTTTAGCAGTTCAAAATTTTTTCCGGCTGCACTAAATCAAAGACAAGTAGCTCAAACAAAAAGAGATATTAATAAATTTTCGAACACTTACGTTACAAATAAATTTCTCCAAATTCATCTATCTTTTGATTGCCTCAGTATAGATCAATCTCCGAATTATCTACTTGGGTTGAAATTCCTTTTTTTTTTTTTTTTTTTTTTTTTTTTTTTTTGTCTGTAAATTCACACCTTTATCGTAAAATTATTCTACTAAAAAGTTCTCGATAGATCTTCAATCTCTCTTTCTGTTTATGGTACTTGTCCTTTCCTGCATTTAAATTGCAGGAGAAGAAGGCGATGGTGTTGAATGTTTCTGGTAAAATAAATTCTACATTAGTCAATACTGTTCTTCTTACACTCAGTTTTATTTTGTGTGTCATTCTTTCTCAACATACTAAAACATACTCAAGATACTAGTTGGCCTTTAAATTTAAGAGAATGTAAAGAATTTTCCCTCTCCTCATTGCATACCTTCATGTTGTAATAGGTAGTATTTCCATTAGCGAACACGAGATCCGGATTTTATTAGCAGCAGATGTGTTATTAAATCCTCACTTTTTTGTCTGTATCACTTTTCAAATAAAAGGATGCTGCCACCAAATTTTATTGCCATGTATTAGTTTAAAGAAATAATATAACCAATGCAAAAAATGCATGGCAACACTTAATACATTAGTGGGAATTCTGAAGATATGCTTTTTTTAAATACTTTGTGATTTTGCTCTTGAATTTTATGTGGCGTAAGTGCGAAGGAAACAATGCTTAGTAATAAAGCTAAAAAGAGAAACAATTCTGTTAACAGGGGCGAGTGCAGTAGCAGATTGGTAACCTGCGACGGTCAGCGAGAACATAAAAAACGTTAACAAATCCTCTGGTGCAACGTTAAAATCTGATTGGTTTCAGATTTTTTTAGTGTGTGTGTATATGCGTGTGTTTCATTTTTGGATAATACCTGATCTAAGTTATCATCGAGTGTTGTCAAAGATTATTTGCTTGAACATAAATATCATCTTTTTTTTCTTTACGTAGGTGAAGTTGGAAAGGAGATGTATATCGTAAACCGAGGACGCCTGCAAGTTGTTACCGATAACGGCAAGACGGTTTTGGCTACGCTGAGAGCGGGTAGCTACTTCGGTGAGATCAGCGTCCTCAACATGGGAACTGCTGGAAACAGAAGAACAGCATCTGTTCGATCCGTTGGATACTCGGATCTGTTTTGCCTTTACAAGCAGGACATGTGGGATGTACTCAAGGACTATCCTGCAGCAAGAGTCCGACTTGAGGCTATTGCAGTAAAACGTCTAGAAAAGTACAAAAAAGAAGAGAATGGAAAGAAAAGTGAGTAATTTCGTCATTTTTTTAACTTTGTATACTTTCGTAATGCGATCATTAATCTCCAGAACTTCTCATTGACCACTTGACTATATATCATGAGGGCCTTTATATCCAAATGTTAAAGTAACAAAATCATAAATGCATCATACCAGGATATTTATGTACGCTCCTGTCTGCCATTTTCGGCAAACAAATTCTATAGCCAAGTAGAATGAATGAAGTCAAATAATACACGAGTAAGTAAGTTTGTCATGCATGTTCCGCTCTCTACATTTAGATCAATACACAGCCGGTCCTCCATATCAAACAGGGGCTGGGTGGCAGGATGTGGTCAGCGGCGGCAGACAGGGGGTAATCAAAAGTCCCCAGAGAGGTTAGAAATATGCTGATGATGCTGTATGTCCAGGGGTCTTAATCGCGGACGGCAGACTTTAATAAAAATCTCTGTAAAACCACAGCCAAACACTGACTAATCGGGGTCATCCCTGCCGGAGGCCAGAATCCACGTTAAAGGGAACTATGGATGCCTGGACATCTGACTGGTCATGAGAAATGCTGCTTGCCAATACTCTGAGGAATACCCATCAGTGGATGAATTATACAGAGAACTCCACTCCCCCATAATTCACCGATTCTACCAGCTAATGGATTAACACCAAGCCACTCCGAGGGCCCTAGGAGCTTGCTCCGGAACTGAAACCGCCAAGTTCAATGATTTTGTAGCCCCAGTGCAGATGCTACCTGTATACAGATCCCAGCTAACACAATAAGCCATCCCTGGTATAAAATAATGCATAAGTATGAAGTCACAACCCACTTATGAGCCTCTCTCTCTCAGGTATACCATTCTCGCAAAATTCTTTACCCGGGCAACATTTTCGCAACCGTTTATCTTACATAAAGACTTCCAATTAAAAAAATGCTTTAAATAATACAAAGATTCATATTTTGGCACTTTTATATTTAAACATATTAATTTTGCATAAAATACGAGATCATTTAGCTTTTTATTCATTCTTCCTGTGTTCCACTTATATTTAGCAAAATTGTGAGCTCGTTATGAAAACAAAAAGCTATGTTACACTCCCGTAAGACAAAAATTTAAATTTATCGAGTTATTTGATATTAAAATAGAGAACTGTATTTGTAGGTCGTACACAAAGTGAAGAGCGAAGTGTTTGCATTAGTACGCAAATAAAAGAAAATATCACTTCGGAAAAAGTTTCTTAAGGCAAGAGATTACGTGACAAGCATTTTTGTGCAAATTGTTGTGAAAAATATTAATCAGTATAACTTTTTTTTTTTCAAAAAGAAGTTTTATTCACAGAATCTTATAGAATTTGTATTCTAGAAAATACTGGAAGACTTCAGTATTGGCGCGGAGCCAACTTGTTAGATTATTTAAATTAATTAAAAATAAAAATATTTGTACTTTAATTTTTTATTCGATCAGCGGATTATATACCGTATTTTTAACCTTATCTTTTTAACGCCAGGTTCTAAATTTTTTTTAAATATTCATGCAATTTTTCCCTTCCTTATTGCATTCAGAGAACGAGCTCCCCTAAATTGTAAAGTGGATTTATCCATGTAGTGACTACTTTCGTTTTACTAATGAAGACAATCCCATCTCAAACTACCGCGAAGGTCATGTTGCACCTTTCCCTTCTGACTCTTGAACGTTATGCAAGGATAATACGAGAACTGATATTTTACAGTGAAGCAAGCTCGGACTGACATTCAGTTTACGATTCCGCCCAGTCAGCTTCTCATTCACCTTCTTTAATTATTTAAGGATGATTTATCCGGAAGAAGTACCAAAGCCGACAATAATAATGGGAGATATTCAAGCTACAAGGAAGTAGAAATGAAGATATCTGATTAGATATCATGATGTTAACCTTTCGGGAGTTGCGAAATTAAGCAATTCTTTCTTCTCAAATGCACGCGACAGCTGTCAGCTATAGACTTATTCTACAGGTAACTATCACAATAATATTCCTTTAAAAGAAACCTGCACTTCGATAAAAATACGGGCCCACCAGCGGCCGAGCAGTAAAATCGCTGAACACTGGTAGTTCGGTCCGAGGTTCGAATCCCGCGAACGGGCTGGCTGCATGAGCGTTTTCGTGTTCTTCCTCATGTGTATACAAGCCAGTTTTCCTTAGAAAGTCCTTCACGAAGGCATCCCTCCCCTTAGGCAGATAGCCTTCGAGGCTTTGCCATAATCACACACAATAAACATACTGTTACGTTTGGCGCCAAATGGGCGATTTCTCGCCAAATGTAGCAACCCTGCCTTCTCATGTCATTTTCGGGCAACCCTAAACCTGCTTTGTGGGGATGCTATCTTACCGCGGCTGGACATTTCGTAACAATATTAACATTACAATATCACTTATCTTCATTTCTGTTAACCTGTAACTTGAATCTCGCCCTTTCATGTTCTTGCTGTTTTCTTGTTTTCTGAACCTGTTCACCGCTATTGGTAAACCAATAGCCTATATGCCCTAATTTCACGAGCATTATTTATTAGTAAGACGAAATTAATCACTATGTGGATGACTCCATTTTAAAATTCAGAATAACTCGCTTTCTGAACGTCATGAGAAAGGAAGAAATTGCAGGAATATGTTAAAACTTTTCAGGGCTTTATGCTTAAAAGCTAGGGGAGCGAATTAAGTGACGGGGAAAATTACGTGAGTAAATACAACAATTATAGGTGATGTAATACTTCTCTTTTCGAAACAGGGGTGTTTTCTCATACAATTAAATTCCCGAAGATAGTTTCCTAAAATAAAACTTACATTTCCTTTCAGTAGTTAATTAGCTTCTTTGAATGTATTTAACTGTGAAAAACGCACTTTAAATAAAAACATTTAAGTAATTGATTTCAATAATTCATAATTCCTATTTAAAATGGCAATTAGGAAATGTGGAGACCGAAGTTAAAATACGTCTTGAATTTTTTAAGGCTAAAGCTTAAACTGATTAATTCGATTCTCTAACTACACTTTCCTTTCCTTCTTCTTCTTGCTTTAACTTCCTTTTAATCTGCTATTCTTTCTTAATTTTGCGAGGTTTTTATGTTAAGGCATTTTTTGCACCTTTTATGAAAACATTTTGCTCTATTTTTTCCTTCCTTTTTCCAATAACATTCAACAATTTTTTCAAAACACTCAACCCTTCAACAGTTTTAGTACATCATAGATATTAAATTCAATTTTTAGAAGCCATTTATTTTAGGATTAATCATTATTTTTAAGTCCTGTTATTTTAGTCATGGGTTTAGTCATGGGTCCTGTTATTTTAGTCAGTTATAAATACATTTAGTCATCTCTGTAAATTATTTGCAATTATCTCTGCAATCTCATAAACTCTTAAGATACATAAGATCCCTTTATAAGAAATGAAGTCAGTTGAATAGCATGTGACTATATTAAAAACACTCTAAAATTGCGAAAATATTTGAAAGTTTTATTAAGGTTTTAAGGAGCCTTATGTTAATTAACTAGTTATTATAATTTTAGTCTTTACTATAACTACCTCTTTCCGTATTCCTCAACAAAATGCAATTAGTAGTGAGTTTTAAATATGAGATTTTTGAATTTGAAACAGAGAATGCTTCTGGTACTACGCATGCGCGCTACGTGGGTAGTTTCCTGCCAGCTCTAATAACTTTAATCATTCGGCTTTGTTGCTTCTCTCAGCCGACACTTTAATTCTAACATCTACGGTGCAGTAGTGAGCCAGATTCTAGTATAATATTTAATTGTGTAATCTTTGACTACTGTTCAACGTTAAGGTTAAATTGTATTGTTCTATTTTTTTGCCTCACTACGAGTTGCGGTCATTGTAGCACACCCCTTATGCTCTAAATTTATGTTTGTACAAAAAGGTTATTTTAACCTCTCAAGACCTTATCGTTGTTCTCATGCATTGCGATAATCCTCTTCACGTCTGTTAGGGTTTTAGGTTAAAACTGCATTACCCGATCAAAGGCAACCCTATAAAATTCATAGTCAAAACAGTTCATAGTCAGTTTAGATGCACAGACTAGCAAATCATCAAAAATGGTAAAAGAAAATGAAATGAATTGGTTAAGTGTAAATAGGCAATGATATCCGAAATTTAAACATTTACTTTTCTGAGAGAAAGAATCGTCAACGGTGTTAAAGTGTGAATTGAAGTTTTTTCTGTGCTAGTATTCCGTATTTTATTCCGCGCTGGTATTCCGTATTTGAAAGTTAGATCGAATAAAAATTCAATTTAAGTTTATATCTGTAAATACACTGTTTAATAGCTGTGCTGTAATAAAACGTAAAGTTGATTTCAGGTTTTACATCTTCATTCTGTAAGGATTCCAAACTTCAAGGATTAACTTCAGAGAAAATCCTTTTGTCGTCTGGCTGTTCGCCAAATCGATAATAGCGAATCATGTATACATGTATGGTATTTTTGTTTTATAAATAATCGATAATAACGAGCAAATTTAATTCGATAGTAAAATGGCCTTAAAAACATTCCATAATAAAAAGACCATTAGTATGTATGTCGAAGTCCAGGAAAGATGCCAATATATTAATGGAAGATATGGGCAATTCTGCAGATAAATCTTCCTAATATCCCACTGAAATAATTTCAAATTCGTTGCTCGAACCGTATATGATCTTCCATATTCGTTTTGTAGCTGCACAGAGTCACATTGCAGGAGCGTCTTTTATCAGGGAGATGCTGTAATTACCAACAGTGAAGTTTGGCAGTGATGGTGGCTCCTAGCGAAAGATGTCCAAGGATCATGTCGTGGGAATCTGAATTTAATTGAGCTTTGCATTGACGTAGAGGCCCTACTTTTCGTTATCTATGATGAACAGGCGAACAGGCATATGTTTGCTGATGTTGGTGGGCGAATCGTCCTATGGCGGATGTTTGTTTAGTAAACCAAGTATTTTCTGACGGATGATCACGATGGCCTACAGTCGGCTCACATTTATCGCGGTTAA